GAGGCAGCAAGGGCAAATGACTTGACAGAGTCCATGTATGCAGTAAGTCAGTAAGGAAAGCAAGCATGCAGCCCTTAGTTCTCCAACCTTGTTCTCTACTACCTTGTTTCTTCACTGATTCCCTTGCAATCAAAGGAAATGGACCTCTCTTTGGAATTAGAATTTTATGTACTATGATGATTAGGAGTAGCATTCTGCAGATGACCTTCTAAGTCCCCTCTAACCCTATGATTACTTGATAAAGGAACCTGAGGTTCAAATACTGAGTCATCTGGCTTGATGCTGCCATTATCCTGCAGCTACAGGGAATATGAAAACACACAGACTATATGGGCAGTCGAGCCTCTGCGTATAGGAGGTAAAGGGTTTGCAATTGTTTTTGCAATACCAAGGTACTCAAACAGAAGCAAGAGTGGGCATGGGATGCATACTGCATCATAAAAAGCATCAGAGGTTAAAATGGTGAGTAGAGACCTTCCCCCCTGCTCCTACTTTTCACCTCTGTAGGTATATAGGTAAAGTAAGTACGACTACAGAGGGAGAGAATGACTGCTGGCACTGAACTGCAGGAGTAAAGGTTAGAGATTAAAGACCTCCTTGCAAGGATTCAGCAGCTGGCTCTAGCCCTGAGGCTGAAAGGCAGCAAAAATGATGTGATAACACAAGATGAGAGTTTTTCCTCCCTCCTCAGCAAAGGCCTGGTAAATAGCCCTGCAGTGCCTGCCTGCTGCAAATACCTGCACTTGTTTCTTCCTTGAATGCTTCCCAGAGCTATAACTAGAATCTCCATACAGTTAGCCAGGCAAGGGCTGGGATAAAAGATTCCCTGCTTTATAAACCCATATATAGAAGAAACGAATTTGGAGTGCCTAATACTCACAAAAGTATGTGCTGGCCAGGATGAGCACAGTAGAGAAGGAAAGAAATCACTTGGTACTATGGTAATGGGAAAGGAAAGACACAGGCAGATGGTAAAACTTTCCCTGAATATCCACTGTTACAAGAGCACAACATGGGAAACGAGCACTGCAGACCTGAATGCTGCCTTAATGTGTATATGCTGGCTGAAAGCTAGCCCCTGGAGGGTTTTTTCTCCCCTCTTGTCTATGGTGTGGGATAGATCAGAGAAACTATACAGATCATGGCCAAGATTTTCCTAGAGGGACTGGTAATTTTAAGTGCTCACTTCAGACACTCTAAAATGTCTGATTTCTAGAAAGCATGGTAAGCTGCCCTCTCAAATTGACAGCTATTCAGAGTGTCTGATGTTTGGGTTCCCCAATCACTTCAGAAAAATTTGTTTCTTCTGTTCATCACAGTCTCTACTCAGTTGGTGTTGGTGCTGTCCAGTAGTATACACTGCTTGTACAATGACCGCTGACAACACCACTGAAATTAAAGCTTATTTTAAATGAAAACACGTTAGTTTATTTCAATAGAAAAGCTGTATTTAAATAAAAGCCTGATCCCAGTAAAAATAAATCCCCAGAGCTGAGAACATGAAAAGTATGGAGGTAAACTCTCAAAAGTCAGAAAATGCCATGTGAAATACTTGTAAGTGTGCAAGTGGATCCTGTGTACTTCACCATGGTTCGCTACAATCATCTGTCTGAGGTACTTATTTAGCCCGTTTCTATAGCATCTAGTTCCAACAACCTTTAAAGTATTCATCCTCACAGCACAGGTAAGGAACCATCTCTGGTTCACAGAGATGGAAGAGAGGCACAGAGAGATGAAATGATTTGCTCTCAATCTCAAAGGAGAGCAGGAAATTGAACCCAAGTAGTTCACATCCTGAATTAGTCCCTATAACCCCTTGAGCACCCTCTCTCTTCAGGCATTTCCTCCTCCCAAACTATTTCTCTGATGCAACCTAATGCCACACATTTCTCTCTACCTCAAACACACCTGAGCATTACCTTCTATTCATGACTGCAGAAGACAAAGCAAATTCATGCAAGTCATTGATATACAAGATGCAAAGCAAATTCTGTTCTAAGCAGTTTTTTTATGCTGCCTTCATCTTTGCAGGATCCAAAAGCCTTCCAGTTGTGTGTTAAGTGATGTGACTAACATGTCACATGTAGTTTGCTCTTCCTCTCAAGCTGGATGAGGCAGGACAGTCATGGGGAGCCAGGCCTCATTTGTTGCCAGATTACAACATGCACCTTACAAGGTGCAGAAAGCAAGACAGAAAACAGCATAATGTTCTACTGTGTTATTTGAAAGGAGCATCTCCATGGCTGGAATGGAGAACGATCAGAATAATGTACTGATACCTGAGCTGTAACTCTCCCAGTTCTACACTGAAAGGGGCCTGGATGCTGCTAGCAGCTTTTACCCTCAGCTGTTTGTCAGGAATTTAATAGGTTCTACCTAAGAGCTTAAAATTGTTTGCATAATCCAACACAAGGGATGGGACAGCTGTGGATCCAACTGCAGTCTTTTATAATGCTGTTAGCCCAAGCTTCCAAAAGGGCAGACCAAGGAAGTTCAGAATGGACATTTAGCTTCAATTACTTTGATAGGAAACTCTGACATTTACCTCAATGAAGTCAGAGTTTCACACCCAAAATTTGTAATATTAAAAAAAAATCACAAATGTGGGGGAGGCGAGGAGGGAGAACATGTTACGTATGCTTAGATTTACAATGCACCTGCGAAAGTCCAGCATCCAGATCCACCAGCTTTCAAGGAGACAAAAACCAACTCCTGTAGGTCTCTGAAACATAACCAATAGACAGCCACCAACAACACTTTTAGGAAGAGGCATAAAGGGATTTAAAAATCCTTTTTCCTTTTTATTGTTCAGTTTAACCAGCAGATAGGGATCAGCAAATGTTCATTCAGGGCCAGGATCACATTTACAAACGGTGCTTGCCATGCAGATTAAAGGCAATAGGGCTGGCTGTTAATCTTTGACACTGTAATCAGCCCCACTTCTCTCCACTCCATAGTCTTTGCTCTACTTACATTTTATTCTGTCCTGACACAACAGAGCCAGATTCTTAGCTGATAAAAATCAGGATAGTTCTACTGGAGTCAATGAAATATACCAGCTTATGCCAAAAGAGGACCCGAGCCATAATGTTAACACACACACACACACACACACACTCTCTCTCTCTCTCTCTCTCCATAAACTAACAACAGGACCATGTCCACAGTACCATGGGGACATGGCTTATGACTGGTGCTCCTAAACATTATCACAATACAAATAATAATCCTAGTTATTCTTGGATAAAACTCATTAAGATGAAGTTAAGACTAACAGTGTGCAGAAGTAGTTTAAGGGTAAAAACTATTCAAACTCACGAAGTATCATATGGTAGTTAAGGACTTTTGCTATTCGATCATTAGAAAAATTGAACACAAAGAAGTCTGAGGTGAATGCTTTCTCAAGGGACCCAATTTAAAAATTCTTCTCTTTTTTTTTTTTTTTTAAATCAATCAATATACTTGTCCATTCTCAGAAAACTAATTTGAAGTAAGTGTTGATTTGGGGTTGGGTACAGAGTTCTTCATACATAAAAAAGCTAGTTATGAGTTCTTGCTTTAAGAGTAGAAATTAACTTAAATTATACTATGGAGCTGTGATCAGCACCTTCATAATTATATATACATACACACAAACATGCAAAAGGCCTAAGCAACATTAAATAGATTTCTTTGAAACTAAATTGTCTGAAAAATTAGCCAATATCAAACTGCTGAACAAGATAAATATCATTAAGGGAAAAGAAAATCTTCATTATGTTAGAAGAGAAAAAACCCACACAAATGTTTTCCAGCCTGCTCACAGACAGGGAATAACATGTTTTAAAACATATCAAAGGGTTAAATTAATTTTCATTAAAATTTAAATTTGAGAAGGCTCCCTTCTCCCTTCCCCCTCCCCTTTGAACGTTTGACTGGCAACCATTTCATATTTCAATCTCGGCAGAACAAATTGAATTAGATGTTGAAACCAAACTCTGCTCTGTTCTCTAAAGCCTACATGCTCTGCTTGTGCTAATCCTTTTCGTTGCTGCTGCAGAGCACAGAGAAGCTCAGCAAGAAATCTGCCCCACCACAAAAGACAATGCAAAAAAAATTCAAACCCACAGCCCCGCAAAGCCTCGCTTAAATTGTCTTCTGTGTGACACATGTGCCTTAAAGGGACTAGAGTCAGATCCCCTCCCATCCCAGACCCTACTGCTGGCTGTCAACAGTAAAATGAATATCAGCTACTTGTTGTCTTTACCTCTAGGAAGTGAATCTGCCTTTTGGTCCAATCTTTAACCATTTTATAAACAACTTTTGGAAAATCATTTCAAAGGAACCTTAGAGATTTTATCCAGAAACTTAACTTCTCTTTTACATAATTTCCACTCCCTCCCTGCCCTTCCAGTTCTCAGTTCCAAATATGCAAATTCCATTACCACAAGCCAATTGGAAACCTTCCCATCAAAAGATGCATCTCTCCCTAGCCTGTCTTCTCAATTTCATGCTGTGAAATCATAATACTCTTGATGACCTCACAGCTAGGTTGAGACTGGTCTTTCCATTTGTTTTTTTCCCTGCCCAACAGCATAGTAGGTAAAAGCAGAATCAACTAGTGCACAGAGCAGGAAACAGGAATGCCGTGTTATTTGTCATTTGAAATATGGTAATGCCACAGGTACTTTGTAAACAGAGCAAAAAGGTAAACCTTGACACAGAGGCCATGTCCAGACAAACGTGGCCGTGCAGTATGCAGTGCCGCAAACACATTCAAGTGTTCTCTGCACTGCAAGGGCGTGCTGCCTGTACGTGCACTGCTTCATTTTTTTCTGCAGGTTTTCATGATCCCCTGGATATCCAGGGGGTCAAAAAAACCTTGTGGAAAAAAAAAAACCCAGAGCAGCACGCACACAGGCTGCATATGCCACTCAGAAGCGGAGCCAGGCTACCTGGAGCCACACTCTGGCTGCTGGCAAGGCTCTGTGTGACAGAATCACAGCAGCTGCAGCCCTGGGAGGCCCTCAGGACCCCAGGTAAGGCTGCTGGGGTGAGTCCAATGCTGGCCCCAGCCTCCCCTACCCCACCTGGGGTACCTGCCGTATGCCCAAGAGCATGTGGCACAGGTATTCCCCAGGGACAAACAGCAGTGGCACAAGTGGCACTGCTACTTCTCCTCAGGGAACCAAATGCCCATGGGAGTTTAAACAATTTTAATCCCATCTCTGCTACTAGCACGTGGTCTCATCTCAGGAATGCTGTTTTAACAGCCCTGTGCCTCAGTTTACCCACCTGTAAACTGAGACCAGTACCCAACAGCCTTTAAAGGATGCATTATGTTTACACACTGCTTTGAATATAAGAAGTTTTGCTCATGGGCTGGGCATTGTTGTGTGTGTCTACACTGCATGTAGAGTATAAATACCCAAGCTAGCTCAGGCACCAGAAGTAGCCCAGAGTTAGACACCCTTTCAATCCTCAAGGTGGCTCAGAGATCTCTACACTAAACTGCAATCTATGTGAGTGTACTCAACTTTCTCTGGTGCACACCTGGACCTACATCTTGGGGTTACATGTCAGGTAAAAGCAACAGTTCACTAGTCTCAAACTAGACGTACATGTCTGGCAACATTACAAGATCACCAGTGTAGTTCAGTGCAACTGAAACAGCAGAGGGTTGCAGGCTACCTGAAAAAGGTATAATGGCAGACACTGCTCTGGCCAGCAGCAAAGGACCAGAGTGGCAGACTGCCGCTGATCAGGGACAGAGCTGCTCGGGGAGTGCTGTGTGTAGATGCTTGCTCAGAGGCTGGCTATACTGCTCCTGGCTCTAGCCAATGCCAGCTGTCCTTTCCCCTTGTGTTGCTTTTTCCCCTCCTCCATGCCTTGTCTCTTGCTGCCTTCTCAAGAGGAAGGTGTTAACAACAGCTGTATCTGGAGGCATCCTTAAATTAAAGCTGTTCCAAAGGGACATGCAGTATTTCAAGGCCCTGTACTTATTCCAGATGCACTGTGTGAGGCAGGCGGTTATTTAACCCAGCTTGGATTATTCCTGCAGTCACGTAGCCACCTTCTCTTTTATCACAAGAGCCCCAATGCTGTGCATGCTTCCGTCACATACAGCAGCCCTGGAAGGCAGACATATTAGAAAGGTTATTGGTCAGCCGTAGGCCCAGATGTGTTTTGAGTCACTATTCATAAGGCCACCAGGGTTGTGGGTTTAAAAGAAGTCCAATAATAAGTAAGGTTATGAGCATCCCACTGCTAGGTGTATTGGTTAGTCTTGCAACAATAGACAACAATCGCTGAGAGGAAAACAGCCTCTCTCAGCACAATCTACGCTAAACACAAACAACACATGCAGCTGGGAGCTGCTGGACTTTCTGTACATGCATCAAAAAGGGGGTAGCTCTGGGGACTTATCTAAGGCTGAGAGGGATCCTCCCTGTACTTCCTTAAAAATAATTAAAATTAGACAATGCAAAACAACAGAAAACTAGGAAGCAATCCAGCATTGGCTAGGAGATCAGAATTAGCTTGAACATCAGCCCCCAGCATGTGAAGGCCAAACTTGCTCCCTTCCTGGGGAGTGGCTTTACAACCAGAGAAAACAATGCAGTCCCAGTAGCAAAGGTCATCTTAACCTTTTTCTCCCAGGCACAAGGGTTCCTCCTTTAGTACTCGGCCTCACCCCAGTCAGCGTTTGGTAACCTGCAGCACTCATTACAAGTGCCATGAGTAGCCCGTGTTGCATGCAACAGATCAAGGTGCGGACAGACAGCACAGCAGCACACAGAGCAGGAAGCAGAAAACAGAGCAGTACATCACGCCAGGAGCACAGCGGAGGGAGCAGAAAGCTCAGCAGCCAACCAGGCAGGGGAAGGGTATGAGACTGGTACTCAGGGAGGGTGTGGTGTTAATTTGTGGCAGGCTTGGTTTCCACTGCCCTATGTCATCCCCTTTAAGTCACTCCCACCTGGAGGTGAATTAATGAAATCTCTGCCTGACCACAGCAAATCAAAAGAATGCACCCAACCCTTTCTCAATACCAATACCTCCTTAAGAGTGGGATCTTTCCAGTCATACACCAGGGACAGAAGTTACACGTAAACCGGTTTAAGAAAGAAATCGGTTTAAACCTGTAGCAGAACAGAAGCTCAGAGCATATAAACCAGTTTCAAAATGGCTGAAACTGGTTTAAGATAAACCTGGCTGAACATAGTATCAGACTGAACTGATTTGAGTCAAACTGGTTTATGAAACTTCAGTCCCAGACTCTTTCCTGGTTCAAGTTAAATCAGAGCCCCCCAGTATGCTTTCCAGCCCTGGGCTAGCTTATGCTGTCCGCTCCAAAAAGCAGGGCTGGCCCTGCCCCTCTGCTCTGTAGCAGTGAGGCCTGGCTGACAAGGGGGTGGGGCAAGCCCAGCTGGGGATGTGCAGCAGAGGTGGCCCTCAACAAGACAAGCCCTGGCTGGGGCCAGGGAGGGGGTGTTAAATACCCCTCCCCCACTCAAATTTACTGCTGGCTGCAACTGTGGACTACAAATTCCAGAGGCACCTAGAAGCAGGAAAAGGAAGTGATGAGCAACCCTGCAGAGTCCTGGTTCTCTGATTTTGGACTGCAGGAAGATGAAGTGAACACACAGCCCATGCTGACTAGGTGACAGGCATGCTCTAGGACCCCCTGGCTTCTGGCCTTAGCCACTGCAGGCATGTGGCTGCATTTCCTGAATCAAAGGTAAATGTCTGTTCACTTCTGTTTCAATTTAATTTGTGCAGCTTAGACTAACCTGCAAAGGCTGAATCAGTTCAGGGTTTTTTGACTGTCTGTACTTAGCCATTATGTCAAAGTCCCAGGGAAAGAGTTAATATGCAAAATGGCATGGAATCTATAAAACGACTATGTTACTGATGTTCAAACTGGGTCAATCTTTTTACTCTTCTTACTAAAGATAAATATTTACAATGTATTATGCACATTTTGGGAAAATCCTTACCAAGTATTCAGCTCTAAGAATGAAAAAAAGTTCTACATACAGAGTTTTAAAACTCTATAATGTGCAAAAATGACTTTGTGTTGTAAACAGACATGTTGTAAGCTATTGTAATCTTACACAAGCTAGTCCTGGTGTTAGTTCCAATGGCAGGAAAGTAAAAAAGACAGTTTCACACCCAGAAATAGTACTGTAAGCTTCAGTGTAGATCCCATTACTGGCTCACCTAGGTCTTCTGCAAGATCAGGGCTGTTTTTGAATAGCAGCTTCTGATAGGGCTTCTCATAAGCCCTTTGCCTCCTTGTGGTGCCATTCAAGGACAAAAAGAGATGAAGTGTCCACAACCCTCTCTTAGCTCATCCACAATTTAAAGCATCTGATCAGCCTTTGGAGAGAGGTAATGAGGTGGATCCATGCAGTTGCCACCTCAAAAAAGTCAAAAGTTGCTCAAGGGGAAAGCATTTTTTTTCCTCAGTCACATTGTTGTGGATCCTAATGAAGGTGACTGGCAATCAGAGTCCCTTCAGGAAGCGGTAATGAGGAGTTCCAGTGGATCAATTGAACAATCATAGTAGTACCATTCTTCCCAGCTTGGCATCTAAGATAGCAGTACTACAATTTTTCCTTGACAAAACCTCATTCCTGTGATCCTGATGGATCTGCACTGACATAAAAAAGGAAAGATAGGAAGGCTATTTATAGTAAAAGTAGTTCTTGAAGATCTGATCATTGTGGATCCTCAAGACCCTTCTTCTTCCTCAGAATAGGAAGTGTAGCAAGCAAGAATCTCTTCCCTGAACTCATACAGAAACCTTTCTATGGTATCATTGAAATCACGTTTTTCTGTGGTAGGCTCTCATGAGAAGGGTACCTGGAGAAGGGATGTGGATGTGAATAGGGTAGCCATGGGCTACTATACCCAACATCCATTTGTACCAGGCCACTTTAGACCAAGCCCAATGAAAAGAGGCAAGTTGGATCCATAAGGCAATTGCTAGCTCTTGATTATTTCTTACAAGTCGACAGGAAATAGTTTCTTAAAATGCTCTCAGGAGATCCTTTCTGAGGATGATTTACAAACCACACACTTATGTGAAAGGAGGGGCAGCAGAGCAGACAGCTCCCAGGTTCCTTCTTGCTGTTATGGGCAGGAAAGAGGAACAGAGGGAGAGTCATGGTCACTCTGCTCTTGTGGCTCTCACATGGGAGCAGAAGGTGGCACAGGCACATGCATGGCTCCAATGAGCACCACCATTCAAATGTCCTATCTTACATGTGGAAGGCAAGATATACATACAGGTATGGTGGGACAGACAGACAGACAGACGGACACTGCTGCAAAAAATGTAAAAAGCTGTTTAGCACATACTTCCAAATGAAAGGTGAAAGTGTAGCCCCATCCAGCCACCTGCAGTGAACAGGAATTTACAATAAATGCACCCAATTAAATAGGCAAAACTACATTTACGCATGGAAACTCACCAAGCAAAAACTGCTGCATGACTGGAATATTAAGTTAAACTTGGCAGTAAGCATAGGAATGCTCATATCTGCAGGTAAGGATGAAATGTGCCTCTATATCTGTCCTCTGCATCATAAGTAAATGTCCTTAAAGCATGTGTAGCCAATAACATCCTGATGCACTAGACTCTAGCACCAGGGCTGGGCATTTCTATGACAGATTTGCTCTAAGGCTTTAAACACAGGTAGAGGGAGAGCTGTGATCTGCCATCATGGCTGCAGAAGGGTGCCTCAGGTCTGACTCCTAACATAATTAACCAGCATTAATTTCAACAGAAGCTATTACACCATCCCTAAAGCATGAACCCCTGGTTTCTTCCTTTCACCCCAAAGCCATGGAACACAAGGATGACATAGTGTCAATCACCACTGAAGACAGCATGAACAAGTTACTTTAAGTAGCTTAAACAGTCAAAGGAAGAAGGCCGCACAACAGCTAGAATCCTATTACATGCCACTTTGGGCCTAGGTGCCTTTTGTTTTGTGTCACTGCATTCCATTTCCAACATTTTTTTCCAGTGAATTTGGTCCTGAAAAGACAGTCAGAACATCTCTCCACACAACTGGTATTTCTGGGACTTGACAAGTACACCTTCCCACTGCAACAGGTCTGCTGGCATGGAGGGGTCTGACTGAGGCAGTCAGTGCTTTGCCTCACTCAGTATCTGGTCTCTCTGTTAGTGGTATTAATTAGCCCCAATTGTGAATATTGACCCTAGAAGCTAGACTAAGAGCAACATTTCTTCTCACATTTGCCAGCTAGTGCTAGCAGTGGGTCACCATCAACCAGGTGATTTCAAACCAGTGACTTAAAAGAGACAAAGAGCGCTGTATCACAAGCCCTCCTAAGCTAGCCACTCCCCTTGCCTGATGACAGTTTTTGGTGGGCGACTGCAGACTACCACATCAGTATCTGACAGCACAGATATCATCCAGCTGAGCTGGTAGCTTCTGAGTGACCTTGAGGTGCCTGGTCCCTACAGAATGAACCTTTGTTCATTCTATGGAGGTCATCAGTAGCAGCACGGGAAAGGAGATTGCCAAGCTACCCATTTTGTGGCAGCTACTATTGGTTGGTCTCTAGACAAGTTCTTCTGGCAGCCCATCTGCTTGCTCAATTGGAGCTAGGGCATGTGAGGGAGTTTGCTAATCTTGGCTTCACTGGGTTCCCTACTGGAACAAAAACTAGTATGTGTAGCAACCTAATGCAGTAATCTGGTGACTGATCTTAACTCAAAGCCCAAAGTGACTGAATTGGACCTGAATCTGATCAACCATTTTCCTCATAGGGCAAAAACACTGATGTGGGTGAAGATAGGTAGCACCTGGGGTTGGAGGGATGGGGGAGAAGGGGGAATTAAATAATAGGCCTGTTTCCAGATGATGGGACAGACAGCTTTTGTGGCTGGAGACTGGGAAATCAGGACTCTTAGTTTCTAGTCCCAAGTCTAAAACTGACTTAAAATCTTAGACTTCTCACTTAGCTGCTCTGCCTTGCTTTCTCTCAGGGGAAATACCTGGCTCATGGAGCAGTGTAGGGCTTACCATTTCTAAGGTACTTGGGGATGCTTGATGAGAAGGGTGGAATATACAAGGATGGAAAGACAAGAGCAGGAGCTATCTGAATGCTCAAAGGAAGCCTATTCCTTCTTTTTTCAAAATCCACTGCCCACTACAGGTGGAAGGAGCATGCACTGTACAAAAGTCTTGGCAAACGGTGAGCAGCAATGTATGATCCTGTGCTGAGCTCTCTGCTACATAATTGCCTCATCTCCATTTGTCTATTTGGACTGCTTGCTGTACCCAGTCTGACATGCAGGCTATAAGCTCTCTGGGGCAGGGACTCCTATCTAAACACAACAGGACTGTGTAAATCAATGACTGTATTGCCCATGTGTTGCCATAACAGGAACAGTAAAAAACAACTCATAATATGCAGTGCATTTTGAGAGTGACTGCCCGCCCTGCCCCAAGTACATGCACCTTTGGGGCACTGTGTAGCAGCAGAAGAGCCTGCTAATGGTCTCCATCATCATCATATTCCTCTTCTATCTGCTGCAGGATTTCATCCAAAATCACGGATTGCTTTTTCTTCTTTGAGGAACCTGCATAGGCCCAGACAGCAGGGAATAGGGTGGGTGAAGAAGAGAGAAGAAAGACACAGTTACAATAACATCTGCACCTCGATGCAATCCTTCTGCAAAGTGATCCCACAACCTGCTTATACTGAGCCTTCTGCAGTACCAGCAACAACCACATCCAAACCCTTTAGTGTTGGCACAGCAAGAATAGGATTTGGGTGTTTCTGCCTCAAAGGCTCTCCTGCTCAAATTACACTGCTCCATCCTGATGCCTTCTAGAAGCTAAGCATCACTTCCAGTGGCAGAGGAGGAGATGGCCAAGTAAGCCCATGCTCCAGTCTCTGCTCTGGTAAGGCCTGGAACAAGGGGTAGGAAAAGAGATGATTGGCTGGGGAAGATCCCATGCTGCTCATACTCTTCCTTAAGAGCAGAGGAGAGAAGAATAATTCCAGATCTGGAAGTGGCTGTTCCCTTATCTTTGCAGAGGCAGCAATGGCAGGGCAGGGCAGTATAAGGGGCTTGGAGAGTGCATCTCTCTCCGCTTCCTTCTTTTAAGATGGGAGATGTGTGCGAGGTGTGATCAGGGACCGGACTGTAGGAGGGGTAGGAATCCTCTAGTGAGAACAGACCTTTGTGCCTCATTGGGCAGTGTCTGTGAGAAATGGATGTCTTGAAAGTTCATGTCAGAAGCCTGCCTGGGAGGTTTAAAGCATTCAACAGGGGAGGCAGGAGGAAGAAAACAAAGCATCCGGTCTCAGAGACGCAAGGGTGAGGGAGATAAGTTAACCTGGAGACCATTCCTTATGCCAAAGGGGCACCTCCTGCACAGGGGAGCAGGTAACCAGCAGCCTCCCCACCATCCCCCCTGGACAGGCAGTGGAGGAGGGAAGTAGGCTGCCCCCCATCAGCCCTTGACCATCTCCCAAGCTGCCTTTACAAATCACTTGCTTCTCTCCTTGCTAGTTCTTCCCCCCATTCCCCAACTCTCTTCACCATCTCATCCCCTTCCCACATAAAGCCCTCAACTATCATTTGCTTCTTTGTAATAATCAAGCTCTGGCAGCACACAATGGCCTCTGGAAATTGAATTTGCAGGGAAGTAATGGGAGCTGTGGCAGTGGCAGCAGCCAGAAACAGAAGGGCAGGTGCAGCAAAGCATGAACTAAGTGCCTGTCACTCTCCTGGCTCATGTTAACGATGGGGCTCTGCCACGGAGACGAGCCTGATTTCACTCTGATCCCCAAAAAGGGGCACTCCCTGGGGCTAAGCATTCCACAGGAGCAAGGGCACTGTGAGGAACAACCACAGCTCTCTGCCACCAGGGCCAGCTGGATGTTTAACTCTTTGTAGTGGTCCACTGGGCTAAAGAGCTTTTGCAAACAATGCAAATAGGCCCTGCTTTAGAAAAATACACTGGGTCTCTTGAAATGCCAGCTTCTTTACACCTCCCTCCTCTACTGAATTCATTCATAAGGAGCAAGAAAAGGGGGCATGGAGTCTCCAGACAGGATTCATGCTAGTAAGGTTTCTGGGTACCAGAAGCAAGGCAAATGTTGCCGAAAGGTAGAGGAAGAGAGACCAGCTTCGTCTGACACTTATCAGAAGAGGCTATGATCCATTCCAGATAGGACTACACTCTGTCTTGGAGGTACAAATACTTGTGTCCAGTGATCACCACCACACCTTCTTGACCTGCCAGACTGATCCCAAATGTTACTTGTGACTTATGCTGTGTTACTCAGTTGTGATTAGTTAATTAAGTCACATGGTCCTTTACTGGCCCCATCTTTGACTGCTGATGCCAGCACAACTGTTTGCCTGACACTAGCTCTTTGGGAATGTTTGACATTTGGGGTAACTTGCTTGGGTGAATTATTGTCCAGAGAGGACCCAGAGGGCAGTGTGCACAGCTGGGGTTAATTAATTTAAGATGCCAGGGTGAATACCCAGGAAAAATTTAGCACTTGGCTG